GTCAGAGAATTCATTTATGAATTCTCTGACTTTTTGGCTGATATCACACAGAGATACACTCACTTTTTGCTTATTGGTGACTTTAATTTGCATGTGTGTTGTCAGAAGAAGCCCTTAGTGAAGGACTTTCTGGATTTATTGGACTCTTTTAATTTGACTCAGCAGGTACACGGTCCCACCCAAGAACACGGTCACACGCTGGACCTCATTTTAACACGCGATGTCTCTGTTTCTAATTTGAAAATCGGTGACAATGTTTTTTCAGATCACATGCCTGTATTGTTTGACTTCACCCCCCCTTGTCCTACTGCTAAGACGTGCGTTCCTGCACGTACTACTCGTTCCATTAACCATTTCACTGCTGCTCGTTTTAATGAAGGTTTTAACTCTGAGAGGATCGAACAGCTCTCGGTGTCTCTTACCACTGAGGAGCTAACCTCTCAGTTCAACTCTGCCTGTTTAAATGTTCTGGACCGTGTTGCTCCCCTTAAAACCAGAAAAACGAAACTTAGATCAGAGCCTTGGCTGAATGACGTCACGCGAGCCGTTAGGCGGCAGTGTCGCAAAGCTGAACGAAGGTGGAGGAAGGACAGGCTGCAGGTTTCTTTTCAAATGTTAAGGTAGAGTTGGCGTCATTATCAGAAAACTGTTAAAGCTGCCAAATGTAAATTCTTCTCTGATTTGATTGTCTCCAACTCCCACACCCCCGAGTTCTTTTCTCCACCCTGAACTCAGTTCTACACCTCAGTGAGCCTTCACCTCTGGAAGCCTCAACTGAGCTGTGTGAAAACTTCCTCCATTTCTTTTTAGAAAAAGTGGCAAACACCCGGGCACTCATTTCTCCACCAGCTCATGATCTGTCCATTCCATCTCAGTGTGTGGCTGTGTTTGACCACTTTGAGCCCATCTCTTTGACTTCTCTGGAGCAGGTAATGTGCAGCATGAATCCATCTGGTTCCCCCTTTGATGTGGTCCCCCCTCGACTACTAAGGAAGTTTTTCCTA